GACCACTGTTAAAACAGTTTTGATCTGACCGAAGAGTTCGGAAAATTGTTGTGAATGGTTTTTAACTAATTATCTTATAGTGTGCAACAATCCTGACCGATACATCTAAATCAATTTAAAGGTCATTCGACAAGAGGTTATTGAACTTTAGATTGACAGTTACTGACTGCATAACTATGAAGTGATATTTCGAATAACTGGAGCTTTTTTCAACTGGCTGATGTGGATTATCAAAATGGTGGCAGTTGAAATCTATTCTGTGTTGGATGACAGTTTCATCAAAATTAATATTTGTCTATGTTTTAAACAACGAGTGAACTCAAGGATTATGCTGTCAGTATAATATACAAAGTGGTAATGTTTCACTTAGAAATGTATCACTTTCATCTATTCTTCTTTGTACCTCCATACTATATAAGAATGTACTGGTATCCATAATATCTGTAGTTATCTTTATTAGCGAAAGAACTATGGGATAAATTAGAAATGATTAAAATATTCCAGGTAGTTGCAGTAATTTTCTTCCTACCACCGCTCCACATTGACTTCATATAGGTATACTGACCACAAAACTAAATCAGGTCATATCGGTGATGACCTGTTAGTATTACTGATTTATCGGTTAGATACTTCTATTGATCACCAACTACTTCTGACACCTAGAGTCCATTAAAATGAAGACAAAATACTGATTGGTTCGTGTCTGTTAGAATAATTCGATTTTATCATACTAATGTACATTACATACAAAGACTGTGTGCCTCAGATAGTCAAGTAAACAAATAACCAGTTATAGTGGTTGCATAGAGTAGGGCTTCGAGGTTGTCCAATCGCATCGCAATAAATATTCTACCTTGGCCTAGTCGTTAAATTTTTCAATTCTGGTTAAATCCTGTCTAATCATGCTCTAGCCATCAAGCTGGTTTTAGTCTCTTCCTATCAGTCACTTTCATCGATAATAAGATAGTCTTCGTCTAATCAGCATCTTCAAGTGTTGGTTTGTAGGGATTTGATTGGATACAGGATTTCAACATGAGTTGACATTAGTTAGAGAACCATTGGAAAACTTGAGAGCATTGGACAGCTGATTCCTAGTTTTTAACTCTCCAGCTGTAAACCCCAACCGCCAGGGTCCGAACCTAGGATCTTCTGGTTATAAGGCGAGCTCGTATACCATTAAGCCACTGGGAACCGATCCAATGGCCCATGGATTCTAACTTCTGCCAATTCATGACAAAGCGCGACCCCTAGCCAATGTCTCCGGCAAGTATTTGTACCCACACTCGACCTGCTGCATTCTACTGGTCACCACTTCTCACTAGAACCCCAGGTAACAACCTACCTGAATAGGACAAGTCGCTAGTGAGCATCTCATTGATATTCAAGTGTTGGTTTGTAGGGATTTAATTGGTTACAGGATTTCATCATGAGCTATTGGGTCGGGTCCCAGCGGCTTAATGGTATACGAGCTCGCCTTATAACCAGAAGGCCCTGAGTTCGAATCCCGGTGGGTTCGTACTGATGAAGAGTCCCAAACTAGGACGAAACAGCTGCCCAGTGCTCTCAGGTTTTCCAATGGTTCTCTAACTGATGTCAGCTCATGATGAAATCCTGTAACTAATCAGTATCTCATTCATCATGTGAATGCTAAAAACTGTGATATGTTACTACTAAAATTCTGTTGGCAACTAAACTTTTTGACTGAAGGCTAGGGACTTGAACAGTGCAAAAATGTGTTAATATAGTATTGTAAAAGTCGCTTTAAACAGCCACTTTGATCTGATTTAGAGTTAACTGGTATCTGTGTGTGACTCAGTCTGCCTTGAAACTAATGAAATCCCTAGAAAATAAATTAGTTGACTGCTATTGATGACTAGCCACAAAGTGAAGTTGTGACTTGTAGGGTCCACCAGATAATGGTGGAAAATATACATTGACAGTGAAGAGTAATGCTGCTATATTAAGAAATGAGTTGGATCAGAATAAAGATGTCTGATAATACAAAACCTCTAGTTGAATGGAATGCCTTGTAACCTGAAGGCAATGGATCTCATCCTACTTGAGGTCCTGTGTGGGCATTGTTGAAAATCAAAAACAATATTCGAAAGGCCAACCAGTACTCCTTACCTTTTGATAATTCTTTCATTGACGTCTAATCATGACGAAATTTAATGCAAACTGACAGGAGTTATAGTTCATGGGGTATTTGGTTCGTTCCCAGTGTCTGGATGATCAACGGGTTAGTCTAGTAACCTGAAGATTTTGGGTTCAGGTTTTTATGGGGTCATTGATGTTTACTACTGAAGAATCCTAAACTGGAGCGGAACAGCTGTCCAGTACTGCGTGGTTTTCAGGGATTCTCTAACTGATATCAATTCGTGATCTAACTTGAAATCTGCTTTGGATGATTCTGTAGGTACAGAGATGTAAAGTAGAATTTTCCAGATACCTTCATCATTGCCTATGAGGGAGGGTTGACCTGATCTATCTTTGTTGTTATATGTGCTTCCAATAAGGATATCTTGATATTTTGATTTGACACTAGTAACTAGTGTGATGTGTCTAGTCCTCTCATTGGTGCAGACTGAATTCTATCAGTCAGGTTGTAATGTGGCCACCATTTTAGGTAGCTCGCCATCACAGTGCACCTTGATTTGATGATATTAGATGGTTGGAGGCAATTGAGTGCCAGCTAGAACGAAACCTAGGTCCAAGGCTTCGTGCCGATTGCCTCCAACCATCTAATATGTCTTGATATAGTCTGTATTCATATCTTCATTGTATATTAATTGGTGAAATCCAAACCACGAATTTCTCCCCTTTCAGTAATAGTTATATGGAAGCATTTTTATCTTCATAATTACTATAACTGAATAGTCTAGAGGATGATACTTTCCCTGTGGAAGAGACAGATGCTAAGCTAGGGTTTAAATGAGGCACTGACGCCTAGTGCGCGAGTCTTATCAGATAAAACTTAAATTCTGAATTTTACTACTAGTATTTGTCAAATATATGAGTTTGTAATGTGAGAATTTTTCAGTTCCTCTCTGTTTCACAAGTTTGTACCACATATGATGACGATGTTTTCTTGAATAACTGTATAATAGGCTGTATGTAGTCCGTTCTATGTTTTTTACAACCCATTTCCAATCATTTATTCTCTGTTCTCTTATCTACTATTTCCAATTGATTATTCATCACCTAACTAACTTAATACTAACCATGTTGATTGCTCAAGATTAGTCTCAATCTCTCAAAAACGTAGTTATTACTCATACACTTTGACTCACTTTGTTACTAACTAGCCATAAACTTTGACTACTATTGTTAATCTGCAATGCATACATAAATCTCCTAAATAACTCAACAGCTTTGAAATGAAGTTATGAAAAGAGATCTCCTTGCCAACTGACATGTTCTTAATTACATGAAGTGGACATTTTTTATATCTTGAAGAGACCCATGAATTGTAATTTCTGTCATTTCGTGATGCAGTACGTCCTTTCACCAACGAAATTTACGATGAAATCATTCAAATCTTTATTAAAACCCAAAGATTGAAAAATTATTCAATACTGATTCAATAGTGATTAGCTGTGGGATTGAATTCCTAGAATTCTACAGAAAAATCATAATACGTGGAATAATGAGGACAGACCGTACTCACCTATGACACTTGCTAGAGATGGTGCTACATTGTGAGCTAAAAGAAGGCAGAATTCATGGCTCACTGTATCTTAAGCGATTAGCTGAAAGGTGACCTGCTGGTCACATAACCTGAATGTTCTGGCTTTATCTTCTGGTGGGATGATAAGTGTGCACCATTGAAGAGTCCAGAGGAGGGATGAAACAGCTGTTCAGTACTCCGTAGATTTTAATGAGTTTCTAACTGATTTAGATTTTTGATGAAATCTACATTATATCACGTCTGTTATATTATTTTGTCGACACTGTAACTGAATGAACTTCATTTTCTACAGACAAACGTTTATATGTCAAACTAGCTATTAAACTATACATTATACTTAACTTGACTTCAGTTTAAATCATAATACACTAAGTGAAAACAAATACGAATATGCTGGATTTAAAAAAAAAGATATGATTGTGAAAGTACTTTCAGTATGAAGCGTATTGTGTTAACTGTGAATTATTTACAGTATGCAAATTAATTAAATTCATTGTTTTGTAAATACAAGATGAAGTGAAGCAGTCTGCTTCATTTTGAAGATTTAAAATCGATAATTTACTTGAAAGGTTTTCAGTGGAAGCTTATCACCAGATCTCCCTCATTACCTATCTAAACCCAATAGATGAGTTAGAAATTTTGACCACAATGGTTTTAGTAAACTTAAATTGTCTACCAGAGAATGTCACAACAATTGCTTTTTAAAAGACCTTATTTTGCAGATTCCTGGGAAAGCATAATATCTGATGTTTGAAGTAATATGTGACGGGTAGCTTAGATGGCATATATACATAAGGGCAATACAACTCACCTCTCTCCGTCTATACTAAGACAGTTTATAACAATCCGATGATACATCTAACTACAATTAAAGGAATAAATAGTAAGCTTTGAATCGAATTTTATGCTTTTGAACACTCGTCAGTGAGACACATACACATATTGGTACTACTTATTGTTGTTTTTATTATCCCACTGGGTTCAGAATCGAACAAAAAAGCCTCAGCAGTTCACCTCCATTTCATTCTGTTCTCTGAAGTCAATTTTAATTGGCTCCATAACTACCCATAGACTTTCATTTCCTCCATACACAATTTTTTCCATGTCACCACGGGACGCCCAACACATCGTTCCTCGTTCGGATTCAACGGGAAGGCCTCACCGTATAATACTTTCGTTTTCCAACAACTATGCACATATTCGCTTATTTTCTTTATTATATTTTACAGTTTCACTTTCAGTCTCCGTTGTCTTGCAAAGAACCTCACTTTTTTTAAATACTTTTTTTCTCCTCTAAAATCACTTTCTTTAGGTAGCGATCAAAATGAATCGTTTATACAAAGAATCACGAGAATTAGCCAGAAGGAGTAGAAATGAAAAGAAACAAAGTCTAAAGCTACGCCGGAGAATTTCTTCCCAATATAAAGGTATTGATTTACCTCTGGATACAGTAGAAGAAGGAAAAGGTGAGAATGAAACTGAAAAGGAATTAAATAATCATCCAAATGAAATATCTGCGGATAATGTGGAAACAGTAAAGGAGCTAATACCATCACCATGGTTACCAGTTATTAATCCAACTAAATTTGTATCCTTAACCTCAAATTTAAATAAATCATCTAATACAAAAATAGAAACTAATGATAATGTGAAACCAGATTTGGATAAAGTAAGTTGATTGGAACTTCCTCTTAATATGCAGAAGATATCAGCCAAGCCTTCGACTTATTCAAAATTACTTATGTAGGAAAAATAACTAAAGAGCATACTCGGTGCCACTTGACGGAATATAATTATGAATTCGTGTTATGTGTATGTGATTATTGCTCAAAAATGTATCCGTGTACTCAGTGCAATGGTACCATTATTGAATTAACCACATCCTTTTTGACAATGAATGCAATTCATTGATGTTCTCATGATCCAATTAGACGCTAAGTAACATTGAACCTGACAGAACAGCTAGTCTATAAGAATCCCAATTCTTAAAAATTCCTCTGATGCTCACTAGCAACTGAGGTTCTAGTGGGAAGTCGTGACCAGTAGGGTGAAACAAGCTGAAGGTGAGGCAGTGACTTATCAAGGAAGACATTGCGAAGTGGTTGTGCTATGTCATGAATTGGCAGAAGTTAGAATTTATGAACTGGCAGGTCATTGGATCGGGTCCCAGTGGCTTATTGATCTATGAGCTCGCCTTATAATCAGACGGTACTGGGTTCGAAACCTAGCGGTTGGTGTGTACCGCTGGAGAGTCCCAAACTAGACTGACAAAACAGTTGTTCAGTACTCCCTGCAGGTTTCCAATGGTTCTCTAACTGATATCAGCTCATGATGAAATCCTACAACCAACATATCCCACTTGCAGTGTCTCTAACTTCATTGTTAAACCTAGTGAATTACGGATTCCACTCAGAGAGGATGTAAGTTATTCTGAAAGCACAGGAGCGCTTTGTTAATAAATAGTTATGACCAACATATTCCTGAATTAGGGTTCATTCCACTCACACTTCAGTGTCTGATTATATATATTATAAGCACAAACGAAACGTAGACATCACGATCTAATTTCAAATGAACTTCAGTTTTCATTTTTGTGTGCAACTATTCTGTGAAATCAATCAATGTAACAAATTACAATTATCTGATCACCTTTTTTTTACTAACATTTCACTTTATATATAAAATTGAACATGTAATGCAATAGTTTCCATTCAGAATTAGTCATAGTTGGTAAACATGAGATTTCAAAAGTGCTAGTTGCAGTTTTTTGCTTTGAAAATGAATTACCCCATTATACAATGTAAGAATAACTTATTACCTCTCAGAATCAATTATACCATACCAACAATGATTTAAAAACCTAGAATTACATAATCTTGCCTTTGTCACTCGACCAGCAATCACGTGAAAACAGGTATCGAATTCATTGGAGAAAGAAGATAAACAAGACGAGGATACATTGATGTCACGGAACTTTTTCTAGACAAATTCATCAGAAGACTTCTGAACATCATCGTACATGGTTAAGCAAAGTCTATTCATAGCTCTGTTTTAGTTCACATTGTGGATACTGAATAAAATATTTAAAGTTATCTTCTGTATTCCCACTTGTCTTTATTTTACCTTTATGAGTTCATCTTCTGCACAAGGTTAGAGCCATCAAAGTTCACCTGAAGAAGCCTAACTTATACAAACGCATTTATAACCTCGTACATTATTATTATAAGATTGTAAAATTCTGAGAATTTCCCCTTTCCTCTAGGCATTTTACAAGCTAATATTGTTTGAACTGTCTTTAGTTATAGCATAAATTTTCCTCTTAATTTTATCTAATATTCATTTTAGGCTTATGTTTTTATGCATATTATCAGTTACACATACTTTCAAACTCTATTTTACAGATCTCAACAACGCAATATTATTTAAAAAAAAAATATTAATGTTATCAATAACAATTATCATTTAAATACTATATTTATCATAAATTTTAAGCCAGATGATGAAGTCATAGAAAAAAAATACTCTTTACTCAATCTTTTTGTATTCTGAACAGAAGTAGATAAAAATTAAGAGATGCAATTAACTCAAACTAGCAAATATCTCCAGGTGAACATAGAGGAGACGGATGTGATACAGACAATCAACGAAACGCAACGACAACAATAACAACCATCACTGGGAGAGATTTAACAGAGGTTATCTCCTTCACCTATCTAGGAAGCATCGTTTTAACTATAGGCGGAGCAGGTGAAGATGTCAAAGCCAGCCAGGATCCGAAAGGCAAGATACACCTTCATCAACCTGAACCCTCTTTGGAAATCTCCTGCACTCAGCTTAAACAACAAGATTCGGATTTTCAACACCAATGTTAAGTCTGTCCTTCTATATGGGTCAGAATCCTGATGTGTAACGAAAAGGATTTCCATCAGGTTGCAGACCTTCATCAACAGCTGCCATCGTGCCATAATGAAGATTAAATGGCCAGAAAGAATAAGTAACAAGAAACTGTGGGAATAAACCAACCAAGAGCCGATCTCTCAGCAAATATGTTGGAGAAAATGGAGATATATCAGCCATACATTGAGGAGACCGTCGAATGACATCGCATGCCAGGTACTCGAGTGGAATCCCAATGGAAAGCGATAAGTGGGTCATCAATGCGAGGATGACGTGGAGGAGATCGTGTGAGGAAGAGATGAAGGAGTTTGGGCAATCTTGGACCCAGGTGAAGAGGATGGCGGAAAATAGAAGGAAGTGCAGATGTGTTGTTGAAGCCCTATGTTCCATTCGGAACCCAGTGGAACAATAATAATAATAGTAGACATCTTCAATAAATTTCAAATATAATCACTTGGTAATATACAAAAGAAGACATACAAAAGTGTATGATAGACTGATCACTATCCATTAAGCAATTAAGCTGCTTTAACGTTCAATAAGCGTGAAGTAGACAGTTTAACATAATATTTGACTTTTAAAAAAACTTTATCGTATAAATTAAGAAGGCAGCTGTGTAGAACAGAATATTTATTAATAGAGAGAAGACCAGTAGTTCAGCGAAGAGTTTTTTCGGCGAATTCATTTTCATAGCTGTACAATCGCAAATATATATGTTTATTTTGTATGTATGTGTTCCTTAAATTTCTCAAACGAAAATACAGTTCGTAAGTTTTCGGTGGAGTTACATAATACAAGAGGCTTTCAGAGGAACTGGATGTTGATATAAGAGGGTAGTAACAAAAGTGATGAGTTCTCACAAACGATTGTTAAAGAAGAGTTACGTAATAACATGAATAGTTTGATGAAGGAGTTGTGCTCATGGCGCACATGGAAACAAAATCAAATACACAGTTAAATAAGAGTTTTAAGTAGTTAGAAAAAACAAGCAAACAAACAAAAGTTAAGTCAAATCAACAGACTTGTCGCCATGATAGTAGAAGTGGCTGAATAATTTTCTTTTGTATGCCTAGTTCTGTTTCTTCCAACTGAATGGAAGTTAAACAAAACTTTTCGATTTTTATTCAACTTTAAGTTGTTTAATGTTTAATATTTATCTTCTCTTTTGAATTTATTTTTTCTGCCTATCATATAGCCAGATATACCCACATGGCTTGAGAATGTGAAAGAAGAGATAAAGAATAGTGAAGAACAAGTACCAATTACTACTCTGAAAATCGATACATCAACTAGCGAAAGTAAAAAGAGATACAACAATTACATCCGTACAAGTAGAGATATTCGTCGAAGCGTAAACTATTTAATTATAATGCATAGAGAAAGTCGATTGTCTCATTTGAAAGCAGCTTTAAGCGAAACACCAATCGCTTATTTATGGAAAGGCAATTCTGCAACTTCGATATCATGCTTACGAAAAGCTAAGCTGATCAGTTCAAAATATAGAGATTTTGATTTACAAGCAAAACGTTGTATTCCTGGCTATGTTGGTGGTATATCAAGCGACTTTTTGGAAGCTGTCGCCTTGCCTAAACCTGCTTTGATTCGATTCCCACCGCCAACTAGCATGCATAACTATAGACGTAAGAAAAGGTTGGTTGTAGAAAGACAGCAAATGCAACAGAGTTTGGGGAAAATGAACGCAGTAATCGAAGATATTAAGAAAGTTTTAGGTAAGTTCTGCATATTTTTAAAAAATGACACATGAAATCACTGCAATTCGTTTACATGTACATATATCATTCCTTATTGAAAACCAAAATTTACTGCCTAAGGCTGTACATCAGAACCATAAAGGCTGCTTAATCAAACGATAATGTGTGACTAAGACAGCCATGTTGGCGGACAAGGGACTCCAGGCCATTCACTAGTTTACCCCATTAGAATTTAAACTAGTATTAGAGTTCTGAGTCCTGATGCACTTTATAGAGTGAATTTCTCTGCATCGTGTATTTTAAAATTCTTTGACATTAGGCTTTGGGAGATTATCTCACAATATCGATCTGGCTCGCAGTCATATGCAATGAAATTCAGTATGTATGCACTAGGTGAAACATAGTCTCTGTCCTTCTAGCATCAAACAGAATACACCGTTTACATCATGAATCTCACTGACGACAAGTTCCTGACACTGAAGCTCTGAGTATCACCTTTGCCATATGCCCTCTTGAAAGAGTCATCAGGAATATTATGCTCTGTTGTAAATGTTCTGGCTTAGTGAAAGTCATTTCCAATCTTAATACGAAGTGATTTGTTAACAAATGTCAAAGTCACGCAGATGTTCGAAGATTAACTTCATTTTCGGTTCAACCGCTTTACTTTTTGTCTCTGCTACGTAAAGTGGAAGTATTTGAACTACTCGGAGAAAATACTTGTGTGATAGAGTTGGGCGTAACATAATTAAAGGTTAGTGTTACTCAGAATACACGTTCTAACTTAACCTAGACCACTGCTGCTCATTTTATAATTCAAAATACACAATATAGAACGATACAGTAATGTGTCCCCTTAAAAGACCAGTCAGAAACAAGGAAGCTGTGCGTTCATTTGTGAAGGCAAATCATTTTTGATAATTCAGATGTAGGAAGGACATGTCCTGGATCAATTGGAGAAATCAACAATCTATCAGTAGTATTGTACAGAATCTGAGTTAGATGAACAACGAACAGACTTCAAGGTTAAGAATATTAAAATGCGTGTCTTTTGGGACTAACACTGTCAAGTATTTGTTAACGAATGTTAATTTGCACACCTAAAACCTGAAAACACAGTCTTGTCAAATTTAGGCTGCTATTAATTTCTTTGCATAAATCACGTTACACTTTGCTACAGATTTCAATAGAAAAGTGTAAAAACTGTTATTAAATATATTTACTCGTGTTTCGATTGGTTGAATTCAAGGTCACTACCAAGACTAATCAATCAGTAACTAAATTTTCACAATTATCAAATGAATTTACTTAAAGAAAGGCTCCCATCAATTTTTAACTCAGACTTAGGATACGTTTCTACACACCATTAGAATTATATTAGCTTGAAGGTAATATTGACCGTAAAACTAATTGCATAAAGAGAATAAATGAAGTTCAACTCACTCACTTCTAGCCATTGTCATTGTGCGAATTGAAAGGTTGACATAAGAAATTAATGAGCGAACAGCTGTTGACCGATTTCAGATTTATAATTTGTAGATGTGAAAGATTATTCGTTTTCAGAAGGAAATCGATGATTATCATCTTGTAATTCTTACTTCCGTCATATTAATTTATTTTTTTATTTTATTTCTTTAGTTTTGATTACAGCTTGATTCCACAGTGTAGTTTTGGTACAAGTATGGAATTTTCAGCATGGATATCTGTAGACCAAGTTTTGCAGGCCGACCATAGATATCAGGTGTGAGTCGGCAGGGGATCGAACCTCAGACCATATGCGTGGTCGGTGAGAGTCCTAACCACTATGTCATATGCGGTACAAAAGTGATATTCAGGCATTCTAAAATCTGACATCACAATGTCACTGAAATTGATTGCAGACTGAAATAGTATAGACAGCCAATTTTCTTACTGCAATTTTTATACCATGCAACTGTCAAAATGAGGGATACATTTTAGTCCAGAGATTTTGTAGTATTGAAAAAGTATTTCACTGCTGTATATGCATGGACATAAGAGAGTAGCATTTATTAATGGTGACGAGAAGTGGGATCCAAGGTGCAGATTTGGTTCTTTTTGGAACTTGTCAGTAAACTATACCTGCATCCCCAGTGAGCGAAAGAAGGATGTTGTTTCCGCTGAGACGTGAACCCTGTATCTGTTATTTCAAAGGCCAAAGTGTTATTCACTAGGCCATTGGGCTACGAGTTCAACGGGTATCAGTCGACGATGTCCAAAGAAGCTGCTCGAAAGCAGATACTTACGATGATGCTGAGATACGAGTGGGACGAAATGTGCATCTTTGATTTCACTGCTAGTTACCGCCAACCGAATTAACTTCGTCCTACTCTTCCGACATCTTTGAAGCGAACCGAAATAGCAGCCAACATGTTAACAAAGACTGAACATTTCGGTTCAATACAATCAATCAATGGTTAATGCAAATTAGCATAAAAACAAACAATAAGGGTTGTATTTAAATCAGATGTACTTATCTGTGGATGTGTATACATAGTTACAGATTCAGCTGGCTAAATATGTCTGGAAATCCTTAGTAATCATGTTAGTAGGTATTGACCAGCAAGATGTACCTGTAACTTAGATGACATTCATTGATATCTGTGCGACTCAATTATTATTATTGTTCCCTTGTGTTCCTAGTGGAATATAGGGCTTCAACTGCACGTCTCCACTTGCTTCTGTCTTTTGCTGTACTTTTCACCTGTATCCATGTTAGTCCATACTGTTTCAACTCCTCTTCACACGACCTCCTCTATGTCACCTTTGCACTGACGTCCCACTCGCCGCGTGCTTCCCTTTCGGGTTCCACTCGAGCAGTGGCCTGACGCGCGCGCGATATGTCACCCAGCGGCGGCCTCCTCAGCGAGTGTCCGATCCATCTCCACTTTCTCCTGCATATTTTTTGGCTGGAGATTGGTTCTTGTTTTGTTTGTTCCCATAGTTCCTTGTTGGTGATCCTTTCCGACCCGGCCATCTGATCTTCAGTATACAGCGAAGACAGTTGTTAATAAAGGTCTGCAACAAGCTGTGGGAAATATTCTTTGTGACCCACCGCCAATTTTCTAATCCCTATAGAAGAACTGACTTTACGTTTGTATTGAAAATCCGACTGAATTTTGTTGTTGATGCTGGCTGAGTGACGAAGATTTCCAGATTGGTTTCAGGTTGATGAATGTGTTTCTCGCCTTCCCGATTCTCGCTCGATTTGACATCCTCATCCACTCTGACTGCCTGTAGTTGAGACAATGCTCCCTAGATAAGTGAGTGAATGAAGTAACCTCTTTCAAATCCCTCCCATTGATGGTGATTGACGCTGGCGGGATGTTGCTGCTGTTGTTGTTATTTTTGGTTGGTTGGTTATTTTCATAACCTCCGTCTTGTCTATGTTCACCTGGAGTCCTGTCTTCGCCGGCTTCTTCTTCGACCAGTTTGTCGGTTTTCGCTTGCCTCTAAGTCTTCGATTTTGTGTGACATCAAACACAAATCATCCACGCGCAAAATCCATGTCTTCTAGGTTCTTCGCGTCGATCCAGGATATTCCTGTCTTCTCGTTTCCCACTGTCTGACGCATAATCCCGTTAGTTCACCACAATTAGCAATATCATTCATTGGTGATAATAAGCAAGCACCCTTGTCTGACTCCTGTGTTTACTCCAAACGCCTCGCTGAGTTTTCCGTTGTGGATCACTTGACATGTGCCGCCGTTGTCGTACAGCTGTTGAATAAGGTTGGTGAATATTTGGGGTTCGCCATAGTACTCGAGTAGTTTCCAAATGACTTCGCGGTCAACGCTGTCGAAGGCCTTCTCAAAGTCTATAAAGTTGAGTTAGAGGTTTGATTGCCATTCCATGCTTTGTTCTGTGATGATGATGCGTAGAGTTGCAATTTGGTCAGAACATGATTTGCCTTTCCTGAGTCCATCTTGTTCTGGTCGGACTTCTGTATGCAGTGCGTCCTTAATTCTCTCCAGGATGATGCGACTCAAGATTTTACTTGGCCTCGACAGGAGCATGATTCCTCGCCAGTTCTTGCAGAGTGAGGCCTAAGTCGCCCTTCTCTGGTGGTTTCACGAGGTAACCTTTTCTCCAGTCAGTAGGCACCTTTTCCTCCTTCCGGACGTTTTGCAATAATGAATGGAGTCTGCATATCTGATGTCCTATCTGGGTTCGCTTTCAGTGCTTCAGGAGGTATTCCATCTGGTCCAGGTGCTTTTCCAGCTTTCAGAAGCTTGATTGCATTCAAGAATTTTGCTTTCGTTGGAGGATTGGTGTCAACTTGCAGTTGTGCACGTGTTGTTGTTGGTATTTCTGGACGGGTTGCAGAAATAACAGCCATCAGAATCACTTAAAAGTTTTGTTCGAATTAATCATTCCCATTTAGAATATTTCTTTAGTCTTCATTCTAAACTATAGAAATTTACAGCCACACCTTCCCAAAAGGAAAATTGATAGACAAGTTTTTTTTGTTGAAACAAACCCGATTTTACTTTTATATACGTTAGTCCATTAACTGTGAGACAGATATTGACATTTTCTTACAGATATATCGTTGACTTTATCCACTCTATATAGTTCATTAGTAGTATGTTCACTAATCACCCAACTGGTCCACATTAGGATTCCTACCGACGCACTCTTAAACATTGCTTAGCCGTTAATAAGCTCAAAGAAATGAGAAGATTGAGCCTAAGGGTAGCAATCCAATTGTACTGAAACCTCAGAGCTTGAAGCTCTATATTCCACTCGGACCAAAGATATGTACATACAGCATAACGTTCTAATCTTAGTGCACACTATGACTTTCTACAAAGTTCATATATTGAACAATTCAATGTTGTCTATGTGTAAATGTTATTTGATCAAACACATTATATATGAATAAATATTTATGCAGTATTTTCGTTAACCTTGAAAATCACTGGCTGTTTGTTCACCTTGGTGACCTTAATTATTATTAGTAGGTTATATATTAAATTGAGAGAAAAAAATACAACTGTCTAA